CTTTAAGAAATATCTTGAACTTATTTTTTGTTGTACTTTAAAATCATTCATATCATTGTCACTAGCAAATCGTTTCGTATTTGCGTTTGATCTTAAAAGAGCTCCAACATGAAGTATAACAGAAGGTAATTTTAAACTATAACTATAGCCAAAAGAAGCGAAGAAGGGTAAACTTGAACTCTTTCCCGAAGTCTTTGACAGGTGAAATCCACCCAGTCCATGTTGAAGCCTAGGAAATATACGAGACAATTTGCTCAAATTATAGATCAACCTTAAATCTTGAATTTGCTTTTTCTTCTAGGAAAAGGGTCAAATTACCCCTTTGCTTTATGAAATATCTTGGTTTTCATCTCTATTATGCTTTGAATCCATTCATATCCTTGCCATTAGTAAATTGTCTCGCGTTTGCGCTTGATCCTAGCGGAGCTCCAACCTGAAGTAAAATGGAGGGTATTTTCAACCGTACTACCATAGTCAAAATAAGATGGATAGATTTGGACCTTTTAGTATTTTGACATGTGGAATCCACCCAATCCACGCTAGAGGCCCGTTATATCTAGAAATATATGAGATAATTTGCTAGCGGCAAGGATATGAATGGCCATAAAGTATAACTGATGGTAAAATTAAGATATTTCGTATATTGGAGGAGTAAATTTCGCACCTTTTTCCTTTTCGTTTCGTATCTTGAACTTGATTATTTTGCTTAATCAATGTTTTTTGTCAATTTCCAACAGGTGTTTTAATTTCCATATTAAGGATTATAACCAAGGTGTCACTTCCACATACTCCACAAGGTCTCAAGACAAGTGCTCATTTGTATTTCATAATCAGCACAACAATTTTGATAGGTTGCATTATCTGCTGCAACATGTTATATAAGCTGCCAGTGATGCAGCAGCATTACACACTTGTTCAAGACAATTGCTTACCATGCTCAAGACATAATTTCCAGGATATGGCAAGAACTATAAGATGGCCAGCATTTGGGGTTTTCGCGATTTATACTGTTACTTTGTCCATTTTTCCAGGGTTCTTGGCAGAAAATCTTGAATCAAAGTTGTTCAAAGATTGGTATCCCATCTTGCTGATTACAGTTTACAACGTGTCGGATTTCGCGGGGAAATCTTTCACTGCCGTATATGTTCTCAAAAGCATTGGAAAGGCTACTTGGTTTTGTATTGCTAGGCTAATTTTCTATCCTTTGTTTACTGCTTGTCTACATGGTCCAAAATGGCTAAAAAATGAAGTACCGATTATTTTTCTAACGACGATGCTCGGGTTGACCAATGGATATTTGACAAGTGTCATCATGATTCTTGCTCCTAAGTCAGTGCCAACTTCTGAAGCAGAAGTAGCTGCAATTGTTATGGCTGTTTCCTTAGGGATGGGATTAGTGTCTGGTTCTGTTCTTGGTTGGTTCTGGATTATTTGAACTAAACTGTTAGCCATTTAGGCAGGGTTTATTTGTAGCAATAAGTAGAATGCATAACTTAAAATTATTTCAGAAATAGTGTGTTCTGAACATTGTATTTATGCTTTAAAAAAATTGTGAAATGCATTGTGTTCATCATCCTGATTTTAACATTTGTGAAACAGAAAATCGTATAAGGCCTGCGTACACTCTACCCTTCCTAGACTCCACTTGCGGGATTATACTGAGTTTGTTATTGTTGTTTATAAAACCGTATAAGTTCTGAATCAGACTCCAAAGAAGTTATTAATTGATGCATTTTACATTTGAAAATCATGCTATAAATTGAGACCATAGGCAAAAAGATATCAAATTGTCAATATGAAAGAACAATACTGTATTGACTCATCTAGCATAGTAGGCAGCAGGTTTTAGTGTCAAAGAGAATTACTTTCTACTAGAGATCCAGGATTTTTAACTTGAGGGATCGGTCTTTATGTTTATATCACTGAACACCTTGTTCTTTTATAAATATAGGTTAAAAAGTAATCCTATTGAATTTTGATTACATATATATTTAAGCTTCGTACTAAAATACTGGGTTCATTGAACTCATAGTCTGTTAGCTACATTCGCCTCCCCATTCAAGAACCTGAAGTTGTTGGAACCAGAGCTAATGCGAAAGTCAAGCTGCTTCTTATCTCTCTAGTTATTGCAATTCATTTCCAAGAACGATTAACTTATATAAACTGACAGTATAATAATTTTTACATTGTCAATGCGGTGGGATATGACCTATTGGCGAAGATTGTCTTCCTTATTTTGGCAACCGGTAACTAATTTCACTTGTTATGATATCCGTAGTAATTTTTTAGATGATATGGTATAAAAAGTTAGTGCAAATATGGTAAAGTGGATCATAACAAAGTATGCCAGCAAAACACTTATAGACGATCATGCGCACTGTGAATATAGTGTATTAGTTACGAATTTAACTGTATTCAGTATTTTTGATACCGAACATATATATATATATATATATATATATATATATATATATATATATATATATATATATATATATAAAGGTTAAACCGATCAAATTTAAATCTTTAATCCGCGTCTGGTCATGGTTGCAATTCGAGTATCAATCTGCCATGCAAATTATTGAAACACAGGGCATCTTAAGTGTGCAGCTATACACGGTTCTTTAAGAATAAAGACATACTGATAAGATCAAAGCCGAACTCTAGTTAGAAAAGAATATAATTTTGTTGAGTGGCCATTGTTTCATTATCTACTCTATCTCTGGCTACCAAATGATCATTTGGATATTCGTTTCTGGTACTTACTTTTATGCCTATATTTCTAAGAATATTATTAGAGCAATGACAATATTGACTCTGAGCTTCTGAAATATTAACTAGTAGTATCTTTACAGTACGATAACGCAACGTGCCAAAGTTAATAGGTGTAGAATATTAGTAGTATCTTTACAGTACGATAAGCTTCATTCATAATATGTTTGAAATTTTATAATGTGCTGGAATTCCATCATAATATGCTGAAAGTTTATATGCCGGAGCTCCATAATCCCGCATATTATGCTGAAACATTCCATGTGCTGGAGTTCCAACATAATATACTTTAATTTATACGCAAGAGCTTCATAAGCCAGCATATTGTGCTGGAACTTTCCGTGTTTCAACAAAATAACGACTATTTTTCAATGACTTCGCAAACGCTGGTTATTTTTTAATTACCAGTCTGAAAACTGACTAGCCCGTGATAATCAAAACTTTTTGAGCATTTGTGGTTCTCCTTCATCAACAGATTCAATTAGATATATGCTAGCAAGATACCACCAAAAATAGTACTCAATATTTATACTCAATTAGCTGCACTGGACCAAAAGGAAATTGTCACGACCCGGGATTCCCACCTACGGAATCGTGATGGCGCCTAACATTTCACTCGCTAGTCAAGCCAACGTTAGAGTAAATTTTAAGCCATTTCAACAATTCAAGAATTCAAACTCATTTAAACTGAAATGAAACTGAAATGAAGTGCTAAATAGCATAATACCCAAAATATCTAAGTACAAATCGCGGACCTAGACACGAGCATCTAGAAGTACTACAAATAAAGTCTGAAATAAGAACAACTGTTGAATGAAATGAATAGTACTAAGGAAAGGGGAAGGGGACTTCAAGGTCTGCGGACGCCAGCAGATCTACCTTGAGTCTCCAAGTTTGCCGATCCGAGCTGATGCACCTCACGTACAACTAGGACCGGTACCAAAATCAGCACAAGAAGTGTAGAGTGTAGTATGAGTACAACCGATCCAATGTACTCCGTAAGTGACGAACCAAACCTCGACGAGGTAGTGACGAGGCTGAGACAAGACACCCGCGTAATTAAATCTATACAAACGAAAATATACGTACAACATAACAACAGATAAAGTTTTAACATGTACTATTGGGAGGGGACATGCAAAAGGGGAGTACAAGATTCGGTAACTACAACAGGAAATGACAAAATGAATTAGTCAATAAACTTTCAACCAATAAACGGGATAAACATAATAAATAATGACTGCACGACATCGCTCATCGTGCTTTTACTCTCAACCTCACCATAAACAATAATAATGGCACGGCATCACCCTTCATGCTTTTACTCTCAATCCCTCTATAAGATGATAAATACGGCACAGCATCATCCTTCGTGCTTTTACTCTCAATTTCATCATGAAACGATAAATACGGCACGGCATTACCCTTCGTGCTTTAACTCTCTTCATCACTATGTATGATTCAATAAATGGAATAATAATCGGCACGGCATCACCCTTCGTGCTTTAACCCTCTCCCTTACCATGTAGCAATGAATATATAACAATTGGGAGATAGAACCAGCAAGAATAAACCTTACGTCAACAACGGTTCTATAATACCGAACCTCAACTTCCAATACTGCTCAATTATCACAAATAGTTCATAGAAGAACGATCAATTAAGTAATAAATTAGTCTAAGCATGGATATCAAAATCAAGGAAGGAAATAAATTACAAGAAAAAAGTCCCACCCTCATACTTTAACTCAACCGCAACGCATAAGTACTCGTCACCTCATATATACGTTGCACCCAACATTTTAACATGTAGCAAGTAGGCAAACAAGTCCTAATCCCTTAAGTTAAGGTTAACCACGACACTAACCTCGCTCTAAAATTGACTCAATGCTCAACCACGGCTTTGCCTTTCAAACAAGCCTCCGAACCAACCAAATCTAGAAAATTATTAACCAAATGATTCAAAATAAGCCTTAGGAACAACCCATGAATGAAAGAGGTTCAATTAGGTCATTATTGAAAAAGTCAATAAAAGTCAACTCCCGGTCCGCTTGGTCCAAACCCAAAATTCAGACCAAAACCCGATTACCCATTCACCCCGAGCCCGATTATGTAATTTATTTCGAAATCTGGCCTAAATTTGAGGTCTAAATTCCTATTTTACAAAGATCCCTAATTCTACCCAAATCCCCAATTTCTACCATGAAAACCCTAGATTTTAGGTTGAAATCTTATGAAATGTAATGGGTAATTGAAAGAAAGTAGGTTAGAATCACTTACTAATGAATTGGAGAAGAAGAGTTCTTGGAAAAATCGCCTCTAGGGTTTCTAGGTTTGAAAATTTGAAAGAATGAAAAAAACCCCGTCTAACTTAGCTTTTGACCAGGCGCAGATGTTGCAATTGCGACCTTGCGAACCCCGCAAATGCGAGATTTCCTTTGAAAATGCGAGATTTCGTCTTCACATTTTTGCTACCATCTCATTTGCGATGAATTGTTCGCAAATGCGAACTAATCCTCACCACAATTGCGACCTAATTGATTGCAAATGCGAACAAGCTTTCCCCCCAGTCCCCTTCGCAAATGCGATCTATTTGATCGCAAATGCGGACCTGCCTCTTTCGCAGTTGCGGCAGAGTGCTCGCAAATGCGAGAAACCAACCCCCCTGTCCCTACTCGCAAATGGGAAGGATTCTTCGCAAATGCGAGTCAGATCTCGCAAATGCGAGATCTGCAACAGATACCACAAAACACAAGGCATCAGGTATGATTCTAAGTCCAAGATCCTTCCGTAGCCTATCCGAAACCCATGCAAGCCCTCCGAGCTCCAAACCAAACATGCACAAAAGTTCAAAAACCTCATATGAACTTGCTTGCGTGACCAAAACAACAAAATAACACATAGAACTACGAATCGGACACCAAATCAAATGAAACTTTCAATGAAACTTAAGAATTTCTAATTTAACAACCGGACGCCCGTATCACGTCAAACCAACTCCCTTTTACACCAAAATTTGCAGACAAGTCATAAATATAGTAATGAACCTATACAAAGTTCCGGAACCAAAATATGGACTTGGTAGCAACAAAGTCAAACTTTGGTCAAATCTTTAAATTCTTTAAACCTTTAAACTTTAAATTTTCGTCAAAATACGATAACTCGAGCTAGGGACCTCTGAATTCGATTTCGGGCATATGCCAAAGTCCCAAATCATGATACGGACCCATCGAGACCGTCAAAACACGGATCTGGGTCTGTTTGCTCAAAATGTTGACCAAAGTCAAGTCAAATGGACTTTTAAGGCACATATCTACAATTTTTCATATAAAAGCCTCCCAGAAGAAGACACGGATTGCACACGCAAATCGAGAAATGCATAAAAAGCTATTGGAGGCTTCAAAATAAAGAATTAAGGTTTAAAACTCTAGATGCCTATTGGGTCATCACATTCTCCACCTCTAAAATAACCGTTCGTCCTCGAACGAACATAGAAAAGTAGCTGGACTGTGAAAAGGTGTGGATAACTACTATGCATGTCCGACTCGGACTCCCAAGTAGCTGCCTCGACCGGCTGACCTCTCCACTCCACTCGACCCGAAGGATAACTCTTTGACCTCAACTGTTCGAACCTGCTGGGCTAGAATAGCCACTGGCTCCTCCTCATAGGTCAAATCCTTGTCTAACTGGACTGAGTTGAAATCTAACACATGGGACGGATCACCGTGATGCTTCCGGAGCATAGACACATGGAATACCGGATGTATTGCTGATAAACTAGGTGGCAATACGAGCT